ATCTCCATGGGGAGCTCGTTCCAAAGGGCCGGAGCAGCCACAGAGAAGGCCCTCCTCCGGGTGGTTGCATTGGCCAGCGGATGGAATACGGAGGAGGCCTAATCTGTGGGATCTAATCGGTCTATCTATTCCCTATGGGAGGGGCCATTCACCATCCACCTGTGACTTTACTCCCGAGTCGGCCCTTGTTCCGTAACTGTTGCCTTCTCCTGACAGCTCTGAGCATGCGCACATCAGGAACAGGCTCCAGTTGTTCTTCTGCCTCACTGATGTCTGACTCTGAAGGCAGCTGTTAACTGGCATACGGCCCTGGACCCTTCTCTGCCTCCAATGCAGAGCCCTCATCAGAGCCTTCCCCAGACTCCAGGAGTGACCCATGTTCCTCCCCAACCTCCTCACTGTCTGAATCTGCCACCAGCTCCACTGGCCACAACACCTTTTTTGGTGCCTGAGACCAGTACTCAGTGGTTTTTCAGTGTCCAAAATTTGCAAATCGTACAGAACTGCATCAGTCACAGAAGTGCAGTTGGTATATTGGGAGTTCCTTTACTTTTTAACATTAATATGCCTTTTAAACTTTGAAATGCCTCACTTCAAATAGCAGGTTTTTTTTTCAACCATCATACTTGGGGGAGGACAAGAGTCATCAAAATGCCCCTGGGGCTATGTGGATAACCAGTCACTCCACTTGTCCCAAAGTATATAAGCTGAAAGACTTACCTACTTTTGGATTTCTATTTGAATATGAAACATCTCATTTGCCAGTTTCAGTAGTACATTTTTTTTTTTGCTTTATCATATAAAAATATTTTCAGTAATACTGAATGCCTGTTTCCTCTACTGCAGGGGTGTCAAACTGGATTTCTTCAAGGATTGGATCAGCATTGTAGTTCTCCTCTATGGGCCAGTCAGCCGGGGGGGGGGGTAGATGGGACAGAGACTTCCTGCAGCAGCCTGCCAGCCAAAACGGCCCCATTTTGGCCAGTAGGTTGCTGCAGGAGGATGTCCAGGCCAAAAATGGGGCATGGGGCGGGGGGGGGATTGTGTGCGGTCCCCAGGTGCCCCATGTGTGGCCTCCTAATGCGTGGCCCGTTTTGGCTGCCAGAGGAGGAGGGAAAGAATTTGTTTGTGCACAGGTGATCAAAGTGAGTGAAAAGAGTAATTTGATTCTAACTAAGCAGTGGACAATTATATATCCTTGAAATAAATGTACACAGAGAGAGAGTGCTACTGTAATTTGTTTCCAAATATGTCTTGGCATTTTTGCTTATTTAAAAATACAACATCTTTGGGAACATGAAAATACAGTCTTATGATAAAAGAAGAGAGGGTGACAGAATGTGCCAATTCAAACAAGTTTCTGCCTCGAGAAAATAAAACCAAGCAAAGAATAAATCAGAATTCTATATTATTATTTTTTTAAAAGAAAATTCTCTAAAGCTTCCTTGCTATGATGCTATTCTGTATTTAGATTTACAGGTTTATTCTTGCTTTTTTTACTTCCTAAATTGGGTGCCCCCCTCCCCCGGAAGCTTCCTGTTTACAGCATCTAAATACATCTGGAGTGTAACTTGACATTGTGGGGTCTAAAAATACTGCCTAAAACAGCAACTTTGGTAGATCAGAGCATCCCGCTGCTCCTGGCTAGAACAGCAAAAATATCCTGAAGGGTTTATATCACATATCTGAAGTTGCAAGCATGAAGTCAGATTTTCACTGCTAATGTTGTGCCTTTATTCATATCTTCATATTACATCTTTATTGTTGAAATATTTGCCATATGTCATTTCTTTGTTCAGATGGTTAACAGTGAATTGAATTCCATCATTTTATATGGTGCACTATTTTAAACTTGTAAAAGAGTTTTTAAGACAAAAAACAATTATACTCCTTTTGGTTTTCTTCAGTGGAGTGAATTCACCACATTGAGTCATTCAGGAGTCCCCCAACCCCAGGCTGCAGACATATGCCGGTCCATAGACCGTTAGGAATGAGGCGCAAGTGAGCAAAACTTCATCTGTGCATGTGTGGGATTTAGGTAGAGCACAAAACCATGACCTGTGGAAAAATTGTTATCTACAGAACCGGTTCCTGGTACCTAAAAGGTTGGGGGCCACTGCTCTATCTAAGCCACTCATTCCTCACCTGACATCTTCCAGTTCCCACAGGATTGTATTCCTTACACCTTTGCCTGACCTTACAATTCTGAAGTATTATCTAGTCCAGGGATAGTCAACCTTTTTATACCTACCACCCACTTTTGTATCTCTGTTAGTAGTAAAATTTTCTAACCACCCACCGGTTCCAAAGTGATTTATAAAGTAGGAAAGTAACTTTACTTTATAAAATTTATAAAGTAAAGTTACAGCAAACCCCTACTGCCCACCATTAAAGCTGGAAGGCCCACTAGTGGGCAGTAGGGACCAGGTTGACTACCACTGATCTAGTCCTACAATCTTTGCAGGTGAAAGACTGGGGAAAGTTGTCGTAGTGCAGTGCAGTGATGGCTAACCTTTTCCGGAGCCAGTGCCCAAAGCACCCGAATCCCCAAAATGCAATGTGTGTACGTCCCCCATGCAGCCACCCCACCCCCTGCATGTGTACACATGCCCCGCACATGCCCCCATGCATGCATGCGCACATCCCTGCACATCCCCCACTTGCACCCTGCCCCCGCAGGCATGCACCGCAGAGACCCGAAGACCAGCTGGCTGCTGGGAGGTGCACATGCATGTGTGGCAGAGGTGAACTGGGGCAACAGCTCTCATGCCATGAGAGAGACCGCTGCATGCCATCTCTGGCACACATGTCAAAGGTTCGCCATCACAGTCCTAGTGCATAACGTGGTCCACTTTAAATAAATGAAAAGTATCAATACACTGATTTTATAACTTATTTCACCAAGCTAGAAATCATAATTTATAAATATATAATTTGCTTAACAACCACATCAAAAAAAAGTCATAGAATCAGGTGTGACTTATTTAAAACCCACCTTGCTTAACAATGGAAATTCTGTGTAGGAGATGATCAGGCTGAACCCAAAGGAGGGGTCAAACGCATCATAAGTCACGAGTCCCTTTGTGCTTGCAAGAGATCTAAGTCCAGCCCACCTTGAATTCCTTTCTATTGTTAACTCCTGCTCATTTCCCTTAACGGTTAATTGGCCACATTCTTATAGGGAACTTAAGCTTGCAATAAATCTTTATACTCATTTGAGCTGCCCTCAAATTCATCTCCTAATTTTCTAGTCCCGATTGTGATTGTAAATGGGCATCCTCAAACAGATAAATATACAAACGGACATATGGTATACCTTTGGAGCAAGAATCCATTACTGTTCTACAGTTAATGGTCTTCCATTTGTTTTACAGATGACCGAAGGGAGACACTGCCAAGTACAGCTTCTGGATGATAGGAAGCTGGAGCTACTAGTTCAGGTGAGACATTGTAGTTTTATTGTTTCTGTAGCACCGATTCGTCAACTGACCTCTTCAGCAGGGCGAATGATCATGCTTCAAAAATTATTGGAAAGATGTTTTAAACTTTGGGCCAGTGTAACACCTCTCTCTGTTATTAATTAAAGCAATGGAAGTTTTTTTTAAGGTCAGGCACAAGCTTGGAGACATCATGCAGCAACACATTTTCAGGCTCATGCAGAAAACATTTTAATAAATAACAGAGATCTGTTGTGTTCATGCTTGCTTGAGGTTCAAAGCGTTCAAAAAAAAGGTGAACAGCCCTGCTCCCCAGTTCATTCCCCAATACGACGGTAGCTCCAAGAAAGAGGGGAGGCATTGTAGCTAGTTAAGAGGATGAGAATAATTTAACAGGCCTCACTGTTTCTGGAGTGCTTTGGGCACTATATTTATGAAGAAATTAATAAATTAGTTCTACAGTAGTTCTCAACTTACCACCACAGACTTTCTGTTGCTAAGTAAGGTGGTGATTAAGTGAGTGCTACCCAATTTTACGATCATTTCTGACATGGTTGTAAAGCAAATCATTCCAGTTGTTAAACAAATCATTCCAGTTGTTAAGCAAATCATATGATCGTTCAGTTAATCCAGCTGTATCATTTATTTTGCTCGTTGGAAGCTGGCTTGGAACATTGTACATGACAATCACATGACCCTGGAATGCTGCAACATGCCAGTTGCCAAGCACCCAATTTTTTATTATATAACAATGGGGTGCTGCAACCGTCATAAGTGTGAGAATCGGTCATGTTCATTTTCCCCAGTGCCGTTTTGACTTCAAATGGTCGCTAAATGAATAGTTGCAAGTCGATGATGACCTGTATTTAGAGAAAAGACAATCATGAAGTTCAGTAATATAAAAATTTAACCTGCTGAAAATAAGCTGAAAGAGTTAGGGAACATTGTAGTCTGTATTGAAGGCAAAATGAAACCTGACTGATATCTTTGTAATCATCAGAGTAGTAGATGGAGAAGATTTATTCTCTAGTGTGCTTGAAGAAGGTCTATGCAGGGGTGTCAAACTGGCAGCCCGCAAGCTGCCCACCCCAGTAAGGGAAAAAATTGTGAAACATCACGTGACGGCAATTTGATGCTGTGAGTTTGACACCTGTAGCCTGTAGCTAGTGGGTTCAATACCTCAGAATGCTCTACCTGACTCTGTTGTTACATTCTCAAACCCTCACAGCTTCAACCTTAAACTGTCTACTGTGGACCTCACCCCATTCTAATGGGGCCTGCATAAGTGCACCAGCGTGTCTTACTGTTCCCATTTATCTACATCTACTTCCTTTGTTCATGTTTATGTTCATACTTAGACCTGTTACCTTGTACATGTTTGACAAACAAAACAAACAAATAAATCAATCAATAAATAAATAAATTTCATCTAAACATTAGGAGAGATTTCTGAGAGGAGATTGCTCTTCAGTAATGAATCAGTCAACATTCTCACGACTCAACTTTGGTTGATGATGGACAGCGACATGTCAGAATTATTTCAAAATTCCTACTGTGAACTGACAGTATTAGAAGGTCACCAAGGGCCTCCCTATCTCTAGATTCTTAAACATCATACCTCAGCGCTCGACTGCTTCAAAACTGGTTAAATTCGGTATTCCCCACGTTTTGAAGAAAAAATCTTGTCCTAGCGCTAATCTTTCTCCCTGTAGTTGACATGCAAGGAAGAATTTGCTGATGTTGGCTTGCCTTGTGACTTATTTCTTCCAGCCAAAATAGTAGGTCATGTAGTAAGTCATGTGGTTTTCTCTGTACCTGTCGGTTTTAATATTCAGCACATCTTCTGGAACAAATTACTGATGAGAATCGAGGTACCATTGTTCGGGTTATCAGCAAGCATGGTCTACATTGTGTTGTATGTCAGTTTTACTTTGGCTAATGTTTGATAATGATAATTCTTTTGATAATATTACAAGGAGAATTTGGTTTGAATATTGCTATGGAGTCTGTTGAAATAATTTTAAATAGACAATTTTAATTACTTGTAAAGACATGTAAATCAGGAAGAGTTGCCTCTTCCAACCCCATTACAATGAAAATAAAAGTTGCTTTTCTACCCTAAACTAAAACCCTTAAAACAGTCATACAGTCATAAGTGGGAGGAGATGGGTGATTGAGAAGGAATCTTCTCATCGTTCCTGTCATCCATTTCCTCCCACTTATGACTGCATGACTGTAACTTTGTTGCTTCTATGCTTAGGATTTATATTGATTGTTTCCTAGTATGATTTGATTGCTTATTTGTACCCTATGACTATCATTAAGTG